GTAGTGACGCCACTCACCAAGCACCTGCTAAAGTAGGTGCCCCCTGTGTGTGGGTATGGTGGCCCACGTGGCTGGGGTCCGTGGTGACGCTACTCACCAAGCACCTAGCACCTAAGGTGCAGGCGCCCTTTGCGGGGCTCGGGGTCCGTGGAGACGCCACTCTCCAAGCACTGCTTTCACAGGTGCCCCTGTGGGAGAAATATTCCGAAAAGACGGAGGTTCCCGTGGTGGGGGAGTCGCTTTGATTTATAATAACTATTTTTCCTGTATTTTGATGTCCTATTGTTTGCTTATCGAGAGTTTGTGGTGTCAAGTAAAGTTCGGCGGGCATTTTTTTCTGATTGGTGGAGTTTATAGATCACCTTATTCCTCGCCACAGTTCTTAGAGAATATTCATGATTATTTACAAGATAACGTCACCGATAGATCTAGAATAATAATTGTAGGTGATTTTCACCTTCCTCGCGTTGATTGGGGTAGATTGCAGGATCCTGGTGCGACAGATGTTAAAAGCGACGAATTATTACTTGATATTGCATTTTCTAACAACCTACCATAGGTGGTTCAAGGGTTTACTAGAATTACTGATTCATCCAGTTCCATACTAGATCTAATTTTTGTGTCAGATTCTAGTATGGAACTAGCAAACTGCCCGTCTACTAACGTGTACGATTACAATGGAGCTGAGGACGTTAGTATTCTGGATCACTTAGAAATACGCCTTTCTTCCTGGTATATGTACAAGACGTGAATCAGTTATGAAATTGATATAAAAAGATAATACACTACTGTCTTGATAAGTTTGTTCGAGAAAAAATTGAAACGCGTGGCAAAGCAAAACTCTTGGGTGACAAGAGAAATATTTCATATCAAACAGAATAGCTCGTCAACGCAAGAAAAAGCCACGTAATAAAAATCCAACCGAAGAGCTGTCGCGTATTCTTAAAGATAAACTGGAAACTGCAAAGCAACGATATTATACTGGGGTCATGCCTGAATTTATAAGAACATCACCTCGCAGGTTTTGGCGTAATCCCGTGCCAGTCGAGGGACAGTGTGCGGTACGTGGCACATAACGAGCGCCTCATTACTGATCCAGGTGAAATGTTGAATTTGTTTGATGCATTCTTTCAGTCAGTTTTCTTACAGAATTGTGACACCCTCGAAAATGCTGGTGAGTTTAGAAACGAGTTGCTCACAATTATGCCAGACCTGCAAGTTACGGAAGAGGGTATATTAAGATATACCCTCTTCCTACAAGATATGGACATTAAAAAAATCGATTGGTCCAGACGAAATACCCAACGCCTTCCTAAAGCGCTACGCAAATTGGGTTTCTAAATATTTTTTCATTATCTTCAGTGCTAGTTTAGAAAAATGCGAAGTACCATTAGATTGGTTATCAGCGAGGGTAGTGCCGCTTTACAAATCTGGAGATAAACATTCATTTTAAATTATCCGCCCATTTCGCTCGCGTGTGCGTGTTGCAGACTACTAGAGCATATTGTTTTAAACAAGTTGTTCAAGTTTTTAGAACATTCAAATGGTCTTCTTTCAAACCAGCAGGGCTTTGGAAAGTCCCTGTCCACTGTGACCCAGCTCACTGAAACATTGCATGACTTCACCACGTCCGCGAATAGTAGAGGGCAGATAGATGCAATATGCCTAGATTTGTCAAAAGCTTTCGACCGAGTACCGCACCCTGACCTTATCAATAAATTACTGAAACTAGGGATAAATCAAACAGTTGCCTTGTGGATCAAGGCCTACCTTACAAAAAGAAAACAATTTGTAGAAATAAGCAAATCAAACTCAGGTTATGTCAGCGTTCCCTCGGGCGTTCCGCAGGGGTCTGTTTCGGGACCCGTTTTATTCCTGCGCTATATAAACAATATAGCAAAAAAGTGAAAGCCGCTTACAACTCCCTGTAACGCCGAATTAGAGCGCAGCTCTTGAGGAGGAGGAGGGAAGGGCACTGGGGGGGGGGTGGTTAAACACACCAGGGGGGTCACGTGACCCCCAATGCCGATGATGTCATCACTGACGTCATCAGTGACGATGGCGATGCGGGTACCGATGACGTCATTAGTGACGTCACTGATGACTTCACCAGTGATGATGACGATGACGATGCGAATGTCGGTGACGTCATCAGTGACGTCGCTGATGATGTCATCAGTGATGATGACGATGCGGATGCCGGTGACGACATCAGTGACGTCACTGATGATGTCATCAATGATGATGACGATGACGATGCGGATGTCGGTAACGTCATCAGTGATGATGACGATGACGATGCGGATGCCGGTGACGTCATCAGTGATGATGGCGATGACGATGTGGATGCCGGTGACGTCATCAGTGATGATGACGATGTGGATGCCGGTGACGTCATCAGTGACGATGACGATGACGATGTGGATGCCGGTGACGTCCTCAGTGACGATGACGTCATCGGGGGGTCACGCGACATCGGCGGGGGTCACGTGACCTCGGGGGGTCACGTGACCTCGAGGAGGGGGTCACGTGACCTCAGGGGAGTCACGTGACTTCGGGGGGTCACGTGACCTCTGGGGGTCACGTGCCCCCCACGAGGTCACGTGACCCCGGTGGGGGGCTCGCGCGGTGCATTATGGGACATTTCCCATGATGCACCGCGCGGTTACGCCGACGCCGCTCAAGCCGGAAACGGGCCCCTAAGAGCTGCGCTCTAAAAACGTAGGACCCTCTGTTAAGGTGCGCCTGTTCGCAGATGACTGCTTGCTATATTCCGTTATTTCCTGCCACGGTGATCAGGTCTGGCTAAATTTAGCACTGCAGACGGTATAAAACTGGTGTAAGAAGTTAAAAATGAAAATTAACTTAAATAAATCTGTGTATTAAGTTAGAACTAACAAAAAGCAAAACATTATTCCATTCGTATACAAACTTGAAAATCACCCCTTAGTTCAGGTTCACGAGTGCACTCATATCTCGGCCTTACCATATCATCGGACTCAATCAAACTGGAAAACGCACTTTGACAATCTGTGCTCTACTGCTAGGAGGAAGCTCTGTTATCTCAAGCACAATCTCAAGCTCGCTCCCCCCGAAACAAAACTAACTGCTTATAAGGCACTAATACGGCCAACTCCAGAATACGCTTCTGTAGTTTGGGATCCATTTAAAGGCTATAACTCAATTTGAAAAATACGAAGAATGGCAGCTAGATTTATATTGTCGAGATAGCAAAGTAGAAAATCAATGCAGGAAATGCTTAACATCCTATACCTTCCACAGCTCTGTGACCGTAAGAAAATAGCTCGCCTAAAATTCTTTCATATGCTAAAATAATTTTTTTTATTTTATTACTTTTATTACAAAGTTGCTTGGCAAAGCATGCCCCTCAGAGGCAACCACTTAAACGAATACCAAATAGAAACGGCAAATAATGATAGAGATAAATACTCTTTTTTTCCAAGAACTATATCAGACTGGTACAACCTACCTCAAGAATTAACCACAACCAACACACTAATTTTCGTTGAAAAAGGCCTAGTGATTTTTTAACAAAAACTAACCCGTCCATTAGTGTTTCATATTCACGTAAAATCATTACATTTCATTTTTTTTCTGTGTGATAATTTTGTGTGCATCCTTGTTTTGTAACTTTTTGAAGATTTATGAATTCAGTATTGAGGGCTTTGTATCTCTATAAATCTATCAAACTGTCACACTTTTATTTGTGTGTCTGTGTGTGTAGGAATATTTTTGTGTATTCACGTATGTTTTTACGTTCATGTTTTCAACTGTAGTTGCCACAGTGTCCATGTTTCGTTTATTTTAACAAATGGAGTATTATGCTTTGTACATTCCTGTAAGAGCCTTAACAGGCTAACAGTTTGCATAAAAATACATAAAAAAGAGGCAGTTCGTTCCTGTTCACTGAGCCCGATGTCTCTTTTACTGAGTCACTGGTAGCCCAGGCAGATACACAAAGAGCTGTCTTCGCTTCATGTTGTAGGAAAGATATTCACAATCTCACTGCCCCGCCAGCGGGTAGCACGAATCCCGACGCTGCCTGTAAGTTTACACCCGCCGCCCAAAGTATTAATTTTTCTCTACTTACAAAGTTCGAACAGAGCATCCCCAGAGAGCGAAATGTTTGCGCCGGTATTCAGAAGAGCGGCTATTGAGACTCTCAACGCGTTTACAGTCATCCGAGGCTCAACAGATCCTCATCTAGGCCTAATTTACTCACCGCTAGAATGTATACCGTTTTCTCCGTTTGGGGAGACTGTTGCGAACCCCGAAGACTGGCGCAGGACACTGGAAACCGCGCCATCCAAGCGATCGTGCTAGGCACGGAGAGAGTTGAGCAACCTGCGTATTTCGGGATTATACGTGGGTTAGGGTTCCGGACGTGCAACGCCAAAGGGGTTGCATTTGGCTTCAGTGCAAAAACGGACTCATCCGCAGTTCCTTCTCTGGGTCCCGTGGAAATGAACACCGAAGCGGCCATCTCGGATATCTTATGTCCGAGAGCGACACCAGATATCCGGAAGGGGAAGGGGGGTTGAGAGAGCCTTGCCATGTATATAGAACAACGGAGAGAGTGAGAGCAGTGTCTCTGCTGAGTGGGGTTTTGCGTTCGTACACGACCACATTTTGCCTGCAAAAGTCACGAGCCACTACAGCTGTAAAAAAAGGAATCATTCAGCAAAAGAACACTTCGTGCGTCAATACAACACACGCGAAATGCTCGCAGCGAAAGTTCATACCGCCATCTAAAGGTCACTTATAAACACAATAAACCTAATATAAAAATGTGACCCTGCACAGTTTATTGTCATTAAGAGCATCTACGAATTATTCAGCCCCTTCATAATTTTTTTTTATTAAACCGCAGTAATAAAGAGAAGATATTTCAACGTGCGAGGAAACTTTCAGAGATGCGTCGAGTGAACCGTTTTACAGGTTGAATTGCTGAAGCCAGATGTGTTTTGCGGATTAGAAAAATGGGAGCGCTCGTGTCACAGGCGATCCTGCTTGCTTCGTTGCACGTGAGCATATATTGTTGAACCTTAACTTGCAATGTTTTGTTCTTAAGATGTCTCTAATTTAACTTAAAACAGTAACGAAAAACTATACAATCCTTATAAAAATAAGAGAGCATACGCAGGCGAACAGGTGTGCTTTCAATATCGTAAGACTCCGAGACTTAGGAACAGAAAAGAATGGTTTGTGTTTCGGTGCTTCTTCGCAACAGACTACGTCGAACTGCAATAGCTTTTCTTAAGTTTCTTCTATGAAGGTCATAAACCGCAGGTTAAGATGAGATGAACCTCGCTCCCTCACTTAGCTGTTGGTTTTAACAGAGCGAGTCTATCCTGCTTCTCAGTCCCGAGCCAAAAGTGGTGTTCTTTTTTTCCGGTGTCTCGTTTGCGCAAGTACACGTTGAGCCTCAAATGGGCGCCGCTTCTGTACAGCCATAGCCTCCCCTATACTGACGAAGCCTGGCAGTTTGACGACGGAGCCATAGAGTGCCCGGTCGCAGATTTGGAGCGCGACGATATGGTAGCACAGAGCACCAAAGAGCCGATTCTCGGGGAACCTGGACGTCAGCGCACAGCTTTTGCAGCTGCGAGGACCCGAAACAGACTTTGCTTGCTCGGGAGAAGTGTGTTTCGGCGTCTCGCCGCAGCGGGGCACCAGTCACGTGGCTCTCCTCTCGTCCGTTGTCTGCCGCTCCACCTTTTTCACTTCGGCGGCCGCTTCTTTTGGCGATCTGCCAGGCTTTGTCAGGATGTAGGAAGCTGTGGTCCAGCTATGTCCTCTTCAGTCCGCTCTTTTTTTCGCAAGGCAACGTGAAGGTGACCAGAAGCCATGCGTATGGCTTCTATTAGAGGGTAGATTAACGAATGGATAGCATTGTATAGTCATTGTATCGGGCGGTAGCTCACGCCACCTAGCCTGGAAACGTTTACACCTTTCTGATTTTAAAATTTCCTATGAATTTCTTTTCTCCTTCAGTCATCTACCCAAACGATTCTGCGCATTATCACGCTTTTCGAGTTTCTCACGTTTCCCGAAAATTCAAATCTTCTTTTATTGTAATCCTTTGTTTCCCCGATCCCCCATCCTCGCCAGCAAAACCTAGCTCTTTTGCTACTTACCCGTTCAGGAAGGGCAGAGCGAAGCCCCATGCATTTTGAAACCTTGCATATGACCTAAAGTCTTGTTTTCAAACGGCTCGGAGAAGGATTTGTCTTAAAATAAAGTTTATCTCCCTCTCTCTCTCTCTTGCTTTCACTCTGGCCTACGACAGATATGTTTGTTTGCCATAATCATTTAGCCCTACATGTCTTTGTCGTAACTCCCGTTTCCGCATCAAGACCCAAAGAGCTTCCGCGTTAGTTATCAGAAATCTGCTCCTTTCTTATGATGTTTTTCTGACGTGTAAATCTTCGAACGTGTAAATCTTCGAAGCTGATTTCTCTTGAAATCTTCTCTCCCACATTTTTCTTTTTTCACTTACTTTCTCTTCCACTTTTTTAGTAAACTAGCCTGCTAAGACTTTTAATATAGTGGGTAAATAGGGGCTGCCGAAACACATGCTATCGCATATTATAACTGGACACATTCACATGTACGTGTGTGAGTTGTCGCCTTTCTTATTCTCAAGTTTCGAGTTTTCAAGATGTTGAAATACAAACTTGATCAGGCTGGCGAAAATTGGGAAGTACAGAATGTGTTGAGTTTTAACGGCCGCTTAAATGAACCCCCTCGTTGAAAGTTGCGACGCGTGACTTGAGGGTGCAAGACGTGGTCACCGTGACCTCAATTTTTCCGTTCAATTCATGAGGTAATTCTACGTCAGGTGACATAACCTTCCCTCTAAATTTACCGTTGAAATTGAAGTCGCTTGACATGAGTCGACTTCGGCTCAGTGTTGGCGGCAATGCGTTAAGGAATGGCGCTACCGGTAAGGCGTTAATGTTTTCAGAAATGTAGCAACGTACTAGCTACGTTTTCCAAACGGTAACGGGCGAAGTACTTACGCCACGTTTTTTAGTAACGTGTAACGTAGTTACGTTACTCATTATATATTCCTCACAACGCTTAAAAAATTACGCTTAAATTTTTTAGCGTTTCTAGGCGTAATACAAATTTTTGATTTTTTTTCTACGTTTTAGTAACATTTTCTTGTGCGTACCTAGGCGACACCGTAAAAGAGAAATCATAAGCCATTCCACTCTCTGATGGTGGATGATCAGCGGAGCTGTTAAGCACACGACACAGACCCGCCCCGAGGAGCCGGAGGAAACTAGACACGCGCGACGGAACCGCCAACCCGGGAGAGCGGAAGGAAAGGAAACTAGGCACGCAAGCGCTTGAAACCACGACAAAGAGAGGGCAATGCGAGCATAGACGAGGCCGACGTGGGTCGCACGGCAAAATCTTTGAGAAACCTTTATTATCCACCTGAGAGTGTACTGATCTTGAAAATGGTGCCTGTTGACGACTAATTTACTGAATAGACCTATTGCTAAATTACCAAAGCAGGGAATGGTGTTTCACGCGCTACACGTGCCGGCGTCTGCAGCAGTAACTCTTCTAATGCAAAGGCCCAAAACAAACGGCATCCTGCACGTGTATTTGTGAACGCTTCATCTTTGGTTATTTTCTTCGAATCTTTTATACGGGGAAGGCGTGCGGTGCGTGCAGCGGTGCGTACTTGGAGTTTTTACTCACTGCACATGGAAACTCCACGGAACCCCAGCCACAAACAGCTTCGCTGTAAAAGAAGGTGATTATGTTCAGTTTCTGGATCAAGATAATATTTCTTGAAATATGGCGCGAATGCATACCTGTACCGACAAAAGAGTAAAACGTGTTCATCTATATTTTGTGGGCAACCTGGCGATTCCAAGCGGTTGGCCCAGGCTGCCCCTCCGACAATCATAAGTGGTCATCTTGACCACGAGGGGGCCAAGGGCAACTGGCCACGCGAGCGGCGCTCCGCCGCTGATAAAAGGCCGTCGCAGCGGATGCGCGGAGGCGGTTGGCATCGCGGCGCAGGCGATAGCGCTCATTAAATGTTTACGTGTTGTTGAACCGGTGTGCTGTGTCATTCTCCGAGACGGGTAGCAGCAAGGGAAATCCCACAATTTAAAAAGGTAACGTGCATACATTTTAACGGTAACGGTGACGCGTTTCTCTTATTTTGATGTGACGCAGGTCGGTAGCGCGTTTCTTTTATTTGCAAGTAACGAGTAACGTATTTCGTTACTTTTTTTTGGAAACGCCTACAACACTCTATTGTCTCTTCATATGCTGCCTAAAGACAACAGGGGGACTAGGACTTTAATTCAATTAAATGCAAAGGTGCCAGCGAGCTGGACAAGAATGACGAAAATCAGATGATGATGATGATTAGGAGTTTATTGGTGCAGCAGCAGCGAGGGCCATTATGCGCCAAACTTAACGTATTTATGACGAAAATCAGAGACTTTCCAGAAACAATTTAGCCCTTAACAACTCCACACTACAGTACAGGATGCAACACGTTCCAAACGATTCGCCTTCCCGGCACGGCTCTACTATTTCTTTAGGATAAATCTAAATCATAACATAAGATACCGCTAGAGCCACCGCACATTGCCAGGACGGCCCCCATAGCATTATCTTGACTACTTAGAAATCTCCGCATGCAATTCAGATCAAGAAAGGCTACGTCGACCTTCCAAATGCTCATTCAGAACGTCCTCAAAAAATTGCCATTTTCTTCCGCTCCATTTATGTAGATGATATCCTGGCCATTTATCCGTAACAAAGCAGAATACTTGAAACATATCCGGTTGCTTTTTCATCGCCTTGCCGACTGCGGGAAGAATATCCATGCAAGTTTGGGGAAACACGCCTAGAATCTGTGCGCACGTAGTTGGCTAACACGACATTTATCTTCTTCAAAAAAGGCAAATTTACTAATTACATTTTTAGTCAATTCAACCGGTATTCTAACCCCTATGACAATTCGTAATTTCGGCAAATTTCTCAAAGTAGTGAGTTTTTTTATCGGCACTTCGTTTCCCCGTGGGCTTGGATTCTGTGATCGCTGGTGGCTCTTTTGAAGAGAAGCATGCCACTTACGTACACTGTAAATTGCATGCGACTGCAGAGCGGGCTTTCCACCTATCTAATCTAGAACTGGCAAATGCAACGCCTCTGTTTCACCGTCAGCCCGACGTTCCAGCGATCAACATGGTCGATGCCTCTGAACCAGGACAGAGCAGTATCGCGATACCAAAGTTTCGCGATAGTATCTTAGAGACACCATCGAGCAAGCTACGACTTGTGAGAATGTTGCGAGTATGTTTCGTTTTATGGCCATCTCGGTGACTTCTAACCGGAAATAATATATTAAAGAAAATGTATCGGTGGCTCTGGAGCAAAGTGCTGGGCTACGGGTCTCCACTTAGCGGGTTTTAATCCCCATTCGAGGTGCCTGTCATTTGACGGAGGCCTGTTACTCGGAAGGCGCACTGCAATCTAGATTTCGGTCGCACGACAAAAGGTCTTCAGTTGGTCAAGAAATTAACACGCTGTTTGTTTTTGTTGGGGCATGCAGGATGCCAATCGTTGGTCTGACCCTAGTATCTAAATTTTAAATTCGCTTTACCTTAGATTAGGGCACAACCAACACTACTGGTCGATGAAGCCATTCAAGCCGCGGCAAGATTGCATGGTCATATTTTTTTTTTGTGCGATCTTTGGTTAATTTAGATAATGTGAATATGCGATTATCGGTTAAACTAAATGTAGAGAATACGTTGTGAAATTGCGTCTTTAGTGTGTGTGTTCGCGTATTTTTCTTTTCTTTGTATCTTTCATTGCGCTCTTACTTGTGATGAAACAGGGCATAGCTGATAAACTTCAGGGAAAATATTCTTTATTAAAAGAAGATAACACCTTAATGAGGATGAAAAGATGCAGGAAAATTAAAATAGGTGCCCAAATCTACACGGCGGGACCAAGCGGTACCAAGGGCCTCCGACATCGC